CCAGCCCTGGCCTCTAGCCCTGGGCTTTCCTGCGGACTCTGGATGCCTAGAGAAACACTCACGTCCACAGGAAGCGAGCCGTCACTGGCCAGTGAAGCGTGCACAGTCAAGTGGGGACGGACCACAGCGTGGCCCCAGACCACCAGGGACGGTGCAGCAAGGTTACCCACGCAACTTCTAGAGTAAGCTGAATCACGCACTTCCTACCAGGTGAGCAGAGGCCAGACACGGCCATCCCTTGTCTCCCCTGGCCTGGATCTTCCTGGCCTGGCATTTCTTGTTGGCTGGGGTCCTCAACATTCCACCCTTTAATGCCTGCATCTGGTCCCCTTCTGTTTGTTCCTGGGTCTGCTTGTTGCGCCTCTGTGGCCTGGCATCCTAACTCCTACATGGTAGACCCCCCCACCCTGGGGGAGTGCTAACCAAAAGCCCTTCCTGACTTTCCCATTGTGGTGATTCCTCAAGAACACAAGCCAGGAGGAGGAGCCCACCATCCGGGCAAAGATGATGCTCAGGCCAAATCAGGGCAGAGGGCCCCTGGTATAGACAGAAATGCAGTCGCCTTTGTGCCACCTGGTCTCACCTCTTCTTACCAAAGTCAGATCTCTCTGCAGGGGTGATTCCAAGAAAAAAGGGACCGACTGCTTCCATTGCGAAGTGTGGCTCTTTCCTATACCCCTTCCCTTTCAATCAACCACCCTCAGCACTTATCCTCCCGCCCTCCTACACAACCTCAGATCCCTCTCAGGGGAGCTGCCAACTTAGTTTATGAGCCAAAGATCGGGGTTATACTAACTATCGAACATTTGAGTGTACAGAGCTCCATTGCAACACAGCCTGGGGTTGCACACTCAGATGATTGCAGGGAAGAGCCCGACAGTTGTGTCCTAGGCAAGGTAGGGACTAGCACAGGCTGGCATGCTCTTACCCTGTGTGAAGCATCCAGTTGTTGTCTCCCACAGAAGATGTACCATGGGATAATTCCGGCCCCAAGAGCTAGATCTTTCTGGTTTTCAGAAAATAGAAAACTCTCAATTCTTATGAGCAAGCTACAAAGTTTTTAAAATGAGAAAATGCTAAGGTTTATTTTTTTTAAAGATTTATTTTTATTTGAAAGGCAGAATTACACATAGAGAGAAGGAGAGGCAGAGAGAGAGAGAGAGAGAGAGAGAGAGAGAGAGGTCTCCCATCCACTGGTTCACTCCCCAGATGGCCACAATGGCCGGAGCTGCGCCGATCCAAAGCCAGGAACCAGGAGCTTCCTCCAGGTCTCCCACGTGGGTGCAGGAGCCCAAGCACTGGGGCCATCTTCTACTGCTTTCCCAGGCCACAGCAAAGAGCTGGATCAGAAGTGGAGCAGCTGGGTCTCTCGAACTGGCACCCATATGAGATGCTAGCACTTCAGGAGGCGGCTTTACCTGCCACTCCGCAGCACTGGCCCCAGTGCTAGGGTTTAAACATTCCCTGAGCCTCATGCGGGAATTTAACCCCCAAAGTAAGAAGCTAATGACACTGAAGTTAAAACTTAACCAGATTGTGGTATTTAGGGAGGGTGCTCTGGTAGCAGGCACCTAAGTCATTTTGGGTGTGCTTAAAGTGTGTTCTCAGGCCGGCGCCGCGGCTCACTAGGCTAATCCTCTGCCTGCGGCGCCGGCACACCGGGTTCTAGTCCCGATCGGGGCGCAGGATTCTGTCCCGGTTGCCCCTCTTCCAGGCCAGATCTCTGCTATGGCCCAGGAGTGCAGTGGAGGATGGCCCAAGTGCTTGGGCCCTACACCCCATGGGAGACCAGGATAAACACCTGGCTCCTGCCACCGGATCAGCGTGGTGCGCTGGCCGCAGCACGCCGGCTGTGGCGGCCATTGGAGGGTGAACCAACGGCAAAAGGAAGACCTTTCTCTCTGTCTCTCTCTCTCACTGTCCACTCTGCCTGTCAAAAAAAAAAAAAAAAAAAAAGTGTGTTCTCACGATGGCAGTTGTTATGAAAGCCCGAGACCACACCCGGCCTCACTCTTTCTCTGCTTCCTGGCTCACCATGGCACCCGCCTCCCAGAAAAGACCCTTCCCCACCAGAGTCTGTATCGTGACTGCCTGTCATGGGAAAGGGACCTACCACCAGCATCGTCACAGACAGCACACAGAATTCTTTAGAGAAGAAGGCAGAGTAGACATACTGACACCCTGTAAGGCAGAAATAGGCGGGCAAGCCAGAGAGCAGCTGACAGCCACTCCAACACGGATTGCAATCTAGGAGTAGACACCCGTGGCGGCAGTTCCTTCGCAGTTTGGGCGACTGTTACCATATGCTTATAGGGGAGAGGCTGTCCAGTAGGTTATAGACTATACTCCAAAAAGCATACTTGCAGTTAGGAGGCGTTCTCTGTGGTCCAAGAGGACATCCCAGGTAGGAGATCTGCACCTCTGGCAGAGCTGGGGAGCCTATGTTCCCTTTATCATTATTTTGCTGTTGTTAGAATCTTTACCTCTTTCATAAGGGCCTCCCATGCTTTCTTGCCAGATGCCTCTGGAGCAGGTGCTTTCTGGGCTGGGGTTCCCGGGCCCTTTGAGCTTTAGGTGCCGCCTTCTGGCCTGTGGCTGTCTGGGCTGCAGCCTCTTGCCTCCAGCGGTCATGGTTTTCCCTGGAACCTCAGCAGCCATTGTAACGGTAGCAGCAGCTACAGCACCCTTAGCAACAGGTGCTTTGGGGGGGGGGCCTTTCAGCATGGATGCCCTCTGAGGCTTGATCATTCTGTTCTTCCTTTTCTTTGCCTCCGTGACTTTAAAGCAGTCAAAATCTGTCATCTTTGCTTTCCGTTCTCTGGCTGCAAATTTCTTGGCGCACCTAGTGGCTGCCCATTTTGTATTGATATCTGCCTTCTCCCAAGTTTGGGGACAGATTTTTGGCAGGACTGTGTGGAAACCTGAGAATGATGCCAGTCAGCTGCATGCATTTAAAAGGCATGGCCTGTCTCCTTAGCCAAGGGCAGGGTCCTCAACCAAAGCCCTGTTTGATCAGTGACATCTACGATCTCAAGCAGCTTCCCAGCATGAGGCCCAACAAAGACACAGGCCACCCAGCCAACCTCCAGGAAGCACCTGAACACCACATTGTGGGTTGGGGGGAAGCTATTCCCTGTACCTTAAGAGGCTCCACCGGATGCCCTGCGGCTACCTTTCCCATTTCCTTCCTCATATAGCTTGTCTCAGGTATTTTATCATAGTAACAAAAAGCAGAGTAAAAGAGGCAGTTACTTTCAGAAGATTTAAATTCCACCCCAATTAAACAAGACTTGTCAGGGAGGAGAATTTCAGGTTCCGGTTTACAACGGCTCTTCCTGTGTTGTCACAGACAAGTTTTCATGGAATGTGACTTTAACATTGAAAAATCATCCAAGGCAAACCCACCCTGAAGTCAAGTGGCGTGAAATTCAGGAGAAGCTCCTGGAAATCTATAGATACCTTGGTGTGTGTGCGCGCATGCGCAAAAACAACAGGGGTGATAACAAAGGCAGGAATTTCTATTAGGAGACTAACAGCCACTTAAGCAATCCCGTAATGAAAGCCTGCTTTAAACATCCCATAAGAGACCCACTGTGCATCCTTTTGTGGCAGAACACTTCATCTTTCATAAACAAAACGCCTCTAATTGTTCTCCATTTTAAAATGCCTTTGTCAGCAAGGATATGGAGGAGGTCGTTAGAGGGGAAAATGATGACCCTGAAAAGTTGGCAGTGAAGCCAGTTAATCTCATGACAGTTTACATTTTGAGTGACAACTAACGTGATCCGTTTTGCAAATACCGTAGCTTTATTCTTGAGCAAGATGATAGGAAAAATACATCACTTTCCACTCTTACTGGACAATAGCTACGAATAAGGGAATCTTGATGCATTGCCTGAAATCAAGGTGTTCCCTCCGAGGATGGCAAAAATGGGCGCCTGACTACAACTCTGGAGGAGGGTGCTTCAGCTTCAGTCCTGGTGATGCTTTGGATCAGAGCATCTTGAGACTGGGGGTGAGGGTGGGGGGCGTCCCGTGCCCTGTGTGCTGCTCAGCAACATTGCTGCTCTGTGTCTTCCAAAAGCCAGCAGGACCCTCCCGGCCTGCTGTTTGCACGAACCCGAAAGTACCATCAGGCATCACCAAATGTCTCTCAGGGCCACATCTGTCCCCAGGAGTGAGCGATTGCTCCACAGGGGCTGGTGTGCATCAGACTTTGGATTCTGGTTTCCCAAGCGAGTTTTAAGATGGGAAATCACACAAGAGGAGAGAGAGTAGGGAACGCACGGCCCCAACTTCCTCTAAGCCAGGGCTGGGGAGCGTCCAGCCTGTGGGCCACGGAAGGCCTATGAAATCACTGGGTCTGGCCCAGCCAAGACAACAGCAGGCAGGACTTGAAATTCAATACATTCTAGCGGGCTCGTTTTTTTTAAAGTTGATGATTTCCTATGGCTTGTGAATGATGTTCTAAATATCTAAATGGCCCTTGGCAGAGAAAAAGGTTCCCCACCCCTTGCAGCCATCAGGGCCCTGTGGGGGTCAGGGAGTGAGGTCTTTGAGGGGAGAGCAGTGGGGGAATATGGCCCGGAAACGTGCTGTGGGGCAGGGCACCTGTGGGCGCAGTGGGAGCCATTTCACTCTGCTCCTTGACAGCAACCTAGGATCCAAGAGCTCGAGCCAGGTGCTGGCGTCTCCTAGTCGATTCCCAACTACAGATGGGGCCGTCAGCCTGCCCCCTGCCAAGTCTGAGTAATATTGAAAGATGGGGTGATACCAGTTACACATGGGGAAGACTTTTTATTTTTATTTTATTTATTTTTTTCACTTCAGAAGGGAAACGTAGCTACAGAAGAACTTGAAAGGTTATAATAGTGGTTTGAAATCAGTAACTCTCAATTTTTTCCTTGTGGTTATGGAAGAAATCATCAATTCCATTTCTCAATAGAACCTCCTAAACACAATAGGCCAAATGCCAGCACAGAAATGGGATGGCTGTGGAGTCCTCAGGGGAAGACATAGTTTAACTATGAAGTATTCACACCAAACCCCGAGAGCAGGGCACAAAGAGAATGAGGTACAGAGTGTGGCTCTCACATTTGCTGCTTGGACAGCACTGTTTATCAAAATAACTACAATTTTCAAAGAAAAGACTTCTTAATTTTTACTATATCGCTTTTCTGTTTGGAAGCAACCGTGAAGAATAAGCTCCTAAGTTTTGGGTTGAGTTTTAGTTTATTTAACTTGGCTCAGTGCAGTTAGATGTTTCAAAAGCACACCTTCTAATCTTCTTGTTTCACTACCTTGTGAACTGGAAATCTGGTTGGACGACATTGGAATAGTGGATCCGTGTCGGTGCACAACGGTGGAAACCTGTGAAATGTGTGACACAAGAGCCAACCCTAACGCAATCTCTGGCTTTAGTTCGCAACAATGCATAGAGATTGTTTCATCAATTATAACAAATGCACCAGCAGCAAAGCGAGCTGGTGTTCAGGAGAGAAACAGTGAGAGGAGGCAGGGGTGCCTGAACAGGAACCTCTGTATACACCTCTCGCTTTTTCAGGAAACCTAAAATTCCCCCAAAAGTAGGCTAATAGTTACAAATTAATACAATTTTTAAATTACAGTTAATTTTCAAATCTGATTTGTAAATTTCACACTAAAGAAACCCAGCACTAGAGGCAGGCACTTGGTGTGGTGGTTAAGACACTGCTTAGGATGCCTGCCTCTTATATCAAGGCGTCTGGGTTCAAGTCTCAGATCTGTTCCCAATTCCAGCTTCCTGCTCATGCACCCCCTGGGAGGCAGCCGGTGGTAGTTCAAGTGGTTGGGTCAAGGCCTGATAGGTGGAAAACCCAGGCTGAGTTCCCAGCTCCTGCCTTTGGGACTCAAACACTGTTGTGGACATTAGAGTAATGAACCAGTGAATGGAAGATCTTTGTCTCTCTTTCTCTCTCCCATTCAAATAAATAATTTTTTTTAAAAAAAGAATAACCATGTCAATGGGTTGTACAATGTAAATTAATGCTATAACTAGTACTCAAATAGTATTTTACACTTTGTGTTTCGGTGTGGGTGCAAACTGTTGAAATCTTTACTTAGTATATACTAAATTGATCTTCTGTATATAAAGATAATTGAAAATGAATCTTGATGTGAATGGAATGGGAGAAGGGGCAGGATATGGGAGGGTTGCAGGTGGGAGGGAAGTTATGGGGGGGGAAAAGCCATTGTAATCCATAAACTGTAATTTGGAAATTTATATTTATTAAATAAAAGTTAAAAAATAAAATAAAAAAAGAACAACTATGTCAAAATTCTTTAGAAGTATCATTTGGGACAGGTATTATGGCACAAGGAATTAATTGCTGCTTGGAATGCCCACATCTCATATTGGAGTGCCAGGTCAAGTCCCAGGTACTCTGCTTTTTATGCAGCTTCCTTGCTAATGTGTCCTGGTAGGCAGCAGACAATGGCTCAAGAGCCTGGGTCACTGTCACCCATCTGGCAGATCTGGAGAGTTCCTGGCTCCTGGCTTCAGCCTGACCCAGTCCTGACTATTACCAACATTTGAGGGGTGAGCATGGAAGATCTCTCTCTTTCTCTGCCCTCTGTCTCTCTGACTTTCAAGGAGCTGACAATAAATAAATATACATTTTTAAGGAAAGGATGTTTGAAATAGGCTCTGCTTAAGAGAGGGGGTGTTTGGCTCGGCAGCTACAGTGTTGCTTAGGACTCTGGCATCTCATAGCAGAGCGCCTAGTTTGAGTCCTGGCAGTAGATGATGGTTCAAATGCTCGGGCCTCTGCCTTCCACATAGCAGACACAGATGAGTTCCAGGCTCCTGGGTTCCTGGCTTCAGCCTGACTCAGCCCCTGCTGTTGCAGGCATTTGGGGAGTGAGCCAGTGGATGAAGATATCTCTCTCTTTCCCTCTCTCTCTCTCTCTCTCTTTATGCCTTTAAATAAATACATAAATAGTTTTTTAGAATCGAACCACTCTCTGCTTACTCCTTGTCGTTGCTGAAAGACAATTACTGCAGACAAAGCAGAGACTAGGCAGAACTTTTTCCCTGTCCAAGCCCAGCCACTGGGCACGATCATTTAAACTCCTGGAAAATGCAATTTGAGCACTAGAGATAGCAGACCTCAGCCTACATTACACTTGGTCTTTCTGTACTTCAGCAATTGTACAAGCTTTATATTTTCTTCTCACAAAAGAACTGTTGACATAAAATTCACTCACAGTTATTTACAACATATCGTCCATAATGGGCAGAAGTTGTTTCTAATTATCAGCGTATAATATTAGCTTGAGTAACATGAGGAATCAGACAGCTTTTCTTGGGCTTTATGCAACAACAAACAAGTTGTTATGCTGAAATGTAGTAAATTTGTTCTCTTAGAGGCTGGCATTCCACTCACCCCGTCGTAATAACTCTTGATCCCTGCTTTAATCTTTGCCACAATGGGCAATTTTTCAGGATAGAAGCTTCTTGGCTGTTTGTCAGAAGGAATCTCTAGATTAATTAGACCCTCATCATTCTGAGGAGGGCATGGAGAAGCCTTATCCCTGGTGCTCTGAGAGGTGAGGGCCAATGTGTGAAACTCTCCCATGATCCTGTGTTCCCAGCAGGTGGATACAGTGTAGCATAGAGGCCGAGCCTTCCAATGTGTCACAGCCAAAGCAGCTAGGAGTGAGTGCAATTGACTTCAAGAATTGGCTAGGCTGGCGCCGTGGCTCACTAGGCTAATCCTCCGCCTTGTGGCGCCGGCACACCGGGTTCTAGCCCCGGTCGGGGCGCAGGATTCTGTCCCGGTTGCCCCTCTTCCAGTCCAGCTCTCTGCTGTGGCCAGGGAGTGCAGTGGAGGATGGCCCAAGTGCTTGGGCCCTGCACTCCATGGGAGACCAGGATAAGTACCTGGCTCCTGCCTTCGGATCAGCGCGGTGCGCCGGCCGCAGCACGCCAGCCGTGGCGGCCATTGGAGGGTAAACCAATGGCAAAAGGAAGACCTTTCTCTCTGGCGCCTTTCTCTGAAGGGAGGAAGGAACCTCCACTGTGATATGGCCTTGACTAAACAAATTCAGAGTTGGTGAACTCAAGGGGCTTCCATAGCCTAGACAGCTCATAGCAAGAGTCTCGGGTGATTGCTGACGTCATAAATAAGAGTGCCAATTGTTAAATCAACAACGGGAGTCACTGGGTACATGCTCCCCTCGCAGGATCTCTGTCCTTAATATGTTTATCTATGAAACTCAAAAACAACACTACTAGTCGAACAATACCCTATACCTGGTTCGGTTATGTGAGTGCAACCTGTTGAAATCCCTGCTTAGTATATACTAAATTGATCTTCGGTATATGAAAGTAACCGAAAATGAAACGTGATGAAGGGGGGAGAGGGGAGAGGAAGTGGGTGAGGGGAGGGCCACGGGAGGGAGGGAGGTTGGGGGGAAGCCACAACAATGCAAAAGATGCATTTTATATTCTACTTAAAACTATTGGTTGAGCTCTGTAATTAATACACAATTACTCTTAGGTGTTTAATTAATACTATAACTAGTACTCAAATAGTATTTTACACTTTATGTTTCTGTGTGGGAGCAAAATGTGGTAATCTTTACTTAACATACGCTAAATTGATCTTCTGTATATAAAGATAATTGAAAATTAATTGTGATGTGAAGGGGAAGGGGAGAGGGAGTGGGAGAGGGGAGCGTTGTGAATGGGAGGGAAGACACGGGGCGGGGGGGGGGAGGGTATTGTGGTCCATAAGCTGTACTTTGGAAATTTATGCTCATTAAATAAATTATTAAAAAAAAAAAAAAGACCTTTCTCTCTCTCTCTCTCACTGTCCACTCTGCCTGTCAAAAAAAAAAAAAAAAGGAATTGGCTAAAGCCAAAAAGAATCAAATGCAGACAGGAGGCTCAGAACAAAGTGTTAAACTCCCAGGATCTGATGTCTCCAAAACCCCTGGGTTCTCCTACAGGCTGTGTGACCACGGGCTGGTTCCTTCACTGCTCTGGGTCGCAGATGCCACACGTGGGGAGCTGCTCATCCTCCCTGAACTCCAGTGGCTCAGCCCAGAAGCAGGAGGTGTGGCCCCGGCAGTCACTAAGGCCCTGGGACACATTGGAATCTACATCTGTGGGCAGAAAGAAAACAACAGAGCGGCTGCCCTGCAAGTGTTTTGTAGACTTGATTGAACTGGGGAACAGTTAGAGGAGGACCAAGACAGAAGCCGTGGGAGGATGGGCTCTATAAACTTGGTGCAGGAGTGCTGGCGGGGGCCCATGAAGTGGCAGAATGGAAATGACATAAAATAGCTTCGAGGGAAAACAATAAGTTTAGTTTCCAAAGGAGCTAAGTGTCAGGATGTGGTAGAGTATCTTTAAAATTGACTAATGATCCATAAATTAGATTTCCATGGTTTGATATTAGTAGAATGGATTTTTTTTCTTAAAGTCCAGTTTGACATTTTTTTTCTTTTTTAAAAAATCATTTATTTTTATTTATAAAGAGGGAGAGACAAAGAGAAACAGACAAAGTGAGGTCTTCCATTTGCAGGTTCACTTCCCGAATGCCTACAACATGTGGGGCTGAACCAGGCTGGCGCCAGGGGCCTCGAACTAAATCCTCTCTCACATGAGAAGCTGACAAGGCAGCTATTTGAGATCTAGAATGACAATTCTTGCTATAGATCTTAAAGACGCTTGAACATTATGCATAAGGAGGCATGCCACACAGTTTATAGTTTTGAAAAATTAGTAGCAACCTAAATGCTTATCCTTGGAGGAATGGATAAGTCAATAATGATGAAGTTTCCCACACCTGTAAAATTTACTTAGGATTTTATTTACATGTATAAATATGGATAGGCTTTAAACACAAAATATTGAATGAAAAACACAAAATGTAGAAAATGTGAGATATAGTGCGATACCATATTGACCATGGACATTCTAAGAATTCATAGCAGGCCAGCATGAGAGCCCATCTGGGCGCTCGGTCAAGTCCTGGCAGCTCCAGTTCCAATCCAGCTCCCTGCTAATGTGCCTGGCAAGGCAATGGAAGATAGCCCAAGTTTCTGGGCTCTGAGACCCCCATGGGAGACTGAGATGGAGTTCCAGGCTCCCATTTTCAGCCTGGCCCAACCCCAGCCATTGTGGTCATTTGGGGAGTGAACCAGTGAATGGAAGTTCTTCCTCCCTCCCCCCACCCCATCTCTCCCTCCCTGTCTGCAACTCTGTCTTTCAAATAAGTAAATAAATCATTTTTTAAAAAAGAACTCACAACAAATATTACATGCAAACTATAGAATCATATGTGAGGTATATTCAGAAAAGTTCATGGAAAAATCTATATTATGAATAAGCCAAGCATGGATTTCAAAATATTTTTGTATCAAAACAAACTTATCTGTTAATTGAATTTTCCAGGAAATTTTGAAGAACCTTCCTACATGTAGTAAAAATACAGACAACAGATGGATGGGTACAAACCTACTTCACAATAGAACTTACTTAGAGTGAGAGAAAAATAACGCCAGGGAGGAGTTTAAAGTTCAACTCTATGGGAAGGGTTTGCCTCCTTTCTAAAACAATAATGAAAATCTGTTCACATTTTAAAATTCTGAGTTGTGTAGAACAAATGTCATATGAACTATTTCAAAATAAAGACAGTAATTAATATAGGGTGAGAAAATTATCGCATCATAATTTAAGTATTATCTATGTGCAATATTTAAATTTTAAGGCATTATCATTGCTGTATTGGGAGTATTTGGAAATTTCACTTCAGATTCTCCGAACAACTTTTGTTTTGTTTTGTTTTAGTTCTCCACTTCCCAAATTGTTGAATATAAATTACATGGGAAGGGAAACTTGCTATAAAACACTGGTATCATGAAAACATTCTTAGCTTATAAAGAGTTTCATTTCAATTTTCACTTTAATTTTGATTACTCATTACTAGATAAGGAAAGTAAAAATTAGAGTCCTGGGCCCAATACCAATGCAAACTATGACATGCTAGTAGGTTAATAAAATTCAGTTCACTGAAATTTATTTTGCAATACTTTCTAAGCAACGAAGTGCTGTGGAAAATGAGACATCCCAGTACATCCCAAAGTGTAACTCAGGCTCTGGGGACTGGGACCCCTTTGATCTCTTCACAAATTGGCTCCAGGAAAGCAGACCCTCAAGCCTCCTGGGATCTTATCCCTGAAGCATCTCAAAACAAATAAAGTGGCTAAGACAGACACCAGACCCAGACAGACTGGCAACCATTTCACAAAATCAGCCCCGAACGACGTGGACAGACAATTGCCCACATGGAACTACGGCTTTTGTTATTTTTCCCCTCGAAAGCCTTCTACTGCCTTGGCGTAAATGCAGCAGATAGAGGTATGCAGCCTGGGCTGGCAGTCTTTGCTCTCCATATTTCAATAGATGATCCTGAATTGGCCTCCTGGAAGCATTTATGCTGACTCGATTCGAAAACCTCTTTGTCAGCCCTCGCCCTTACCTGCTAACACCCGGCTCTGATGGACTACAGCAGGGGCGATGATAATCACGTCTGCCCAGCCCTGAGCGCGCCGCCTGGGTCCACGCACCAGCCCGTCTGGAGGAAGAAAAGGAAATAAGGGGTGTAATTCAATGAATACTTGGCAAGCAAGCTCGAGGGGTTCTTTTTCCTTTTAGAGGAGTAGTGATATCAGAAGCAGGATTACGAAAAAAGAAAGAGTAAAAATAGGATCGTTGTGAATTAAAATAGTGAGGCCATTTCAAATTGAATTACACAGGATCATGGCAATTAGAATTGGAAAAGTTCTTTCAGTCTTTCTCTGTCAAAGCATGATTACTCCCCATGGTATATTCTTCCTAGCTTAGTCCAGTCCAATTTTAAATGATTCAAGTGATCGAGCCTCCTTGGCTTCTCTTGGGATATCACTTTACAGTCTAAAATAGCTAACTGCTAGGGCATCCATCTCCCCCTATATTTTTTCTTTGCCTTATTCCCATTATTCTGCTTTGTATTACCCAATCCACCTTAAAATTATTTGAATTTGATTTTACATGGGTACAATCCACATTTAAATAATTAAACCCGGCTGAATCTCAATGCTATTGTCTACTGGTTAATATCGCTCCCTCTGTCTACACACCGCCCCACACGCTTAAACACCTGCATATGGACACAAGAAACATACAAAATCATACACTCACACATATATTCACATGCATACCCACACAAATGTTACACTGCCGGTTGTGCTTCTGAGAAAAATTAAGAAAGACCTTCAGCTTTCAGACCATTCATTGGTAAATCAATCACAAATCCACTGCTTTAAAAATGATAAAGAGGCACAAACCAGTAAACCTAAAGATTATTTTGCTTTGTGAATATTGCATTTCATTTTTAAGTTTATCTATTTCTTATGTATTTGAAAGGCTGAGTGACAGGGACATCTTCCAACTGCTGGTTCACCCACCTAGTGCCCACTACAGCAGGGGCTGGACCAGGTCGAAGCCTGGAGCCAAGAATGCCTTATGGGTGTCCCACATAGATGGCAGGGACTCAACTTCTTGAACCATTGTCTGCTGCCTCCCAGGCTGCAGATTAGAATGAAGATGGATCAGAAGAAGAGGTAGGACTTGATCTCAGGCAGTCTTACACAGATACAGGTATCTCAAGCTGCAGTTTAACATGAATATCATATTTCTTTCACATGAATAAAATCTTGTGATCTTTTAATATAGTGTTTAATATAGTTTATGCATTATAAATAATATAGACAATATGATGTTAATTCCATGATTATAGTTATAGAAAATATTTTATTCAAGCATTTTCCATACTCATTGAAACAACACTGACTGCTATTTCTTTGTGGATGGACTCATTCTTAAACTAAATATAGTTTGGGTTTTGAGTAAGTTGTAGAGCCTGGGGCAACAGCTTGGGGTATTCAAAGTTAATAGAGGTTGCTTAACGGTATTTAAATTTGATCAAAGAATTTGTATAGCACTTTATGTCCTTTCCAAAGAGCTGCCCAATGTCTTTTTCGTACCTGTCAATCATTCAGCCAGTATCCCATCAGGTAGGAAAGTGAATATGCTGAATATCCTGAAAAAAGGAGAAAATTAGTCAAACGAATTTTGAGCTTTCATCAACAAGGTAGAATTTACCATTCCAATAAAATGTTCAAGTTGGACAAAATTTAGCAATCATCTAAGCCAATGGTCATACACTCACAGTCTGAAAACACAAGAGTCTTTATAGGAATTTGAAGTTTCAAACTTGTCAGTTGGGTGAGTTTTGATTTTTGGACTTTTAATGTTGAATCTTTTGGTGAATCTTGTTAAGTATTACAACAAAAATTTTAAAAGAACAAAGAGAACATGAGGAGAGTTGGGGAACAAGACTTATCTATGCATTTTTGGAAGATGAAAGTAAATGGAGTCATAAGTGAACAAACTGAATGAAAAAATCTAATAATAGTTAAGAATTTCTGAGCACTCATTATGTTAGGTAGGAAAGTCAGTTATGAGCTTATGTGTGTGTGACATAAAGGCCCAAAGAGAAGACATCGATGTCCAGCATATGCTGCATCTCAAGGTCATCCCGACGGTGTTTCAGGGGCAGCCCAGTATTCACATCCTGCCCTGACCTGCCCCCTTCCACTCCTTCTGCCCAACAAATCTTCCACAATCACCCAGGTGCAGCCCAGTATCTGCATCTCAAACACCCTGCTCCTTTCCTCCTGTCCGATAATATTTGCATCCATAAAGTCCTTTGTTTCAGACCTTCAAGAGAGAAGTTTTTCTATTTACATCCAAAAAACCCTTTGTTCCAAGAGGAGCAGAGATGGGGAAGCAAGACCCATCTCCTTAAAACACCCCCCCACCACCACCACCGGGTTGCTGGACTGCACTATGCGCTCAGCCCTCTGCCTCTCTGCTGAGCTGCCCACATGGTCTGGCCAGGTGTAATCTCTCCACTCAACCATGTAACCTCCACCCCCGACACTCTCTCAGGTCCTGTCTGGAGAGGTGCCCATCCGTCCTTACGGATGTCCCTTCCCTAATAACCCTTGCTTATTTTACCTCCCACTACTCTGTCTCACGCCTGAATTCTTTCTTGCGCGAAGACAAGAACCCTGCAATTTCTCCGGTAACAATTATATGCTAAGCATTATTAGGAAAGTTCTATAATTTAATCCCTTTAATCTCACAACACTTTGTGGTAACTGTATCTCCATTCAATAAGTGACAAATGTGAAGCAGTTATTGAGAAAGCTGCTAAGTGTTAGAGCTGGTGGACAAACCCAGAAAATCTGTCACATCTTTGCAAGTGGAATCTTGCTGACAAGCAAGCCAACCTGCCCCTGCAGACCTGGACAATGTCCATGAATGGCCTTGCGTTCACAGTGGCTTCACATACTGAAACAGTAAAAGTATGTAGAGAAGATAAGTTACTGACTCCCTTTTACTGAGTCAGTAGACTGGAGGATGAGTAGACTCTTTAAAGCACAAGCTGAATCTCCTTGGAAAAAGCACACAATGACTGACACTGTGGGTTTTCATAAAAATGCCAATAGCCACCTAATATACACACAGTGGTGCCTGTCCACACATCCCATCCGTGTATGGAGAATTCTGAATCAGATTTTATTGCATCAGTCCTGATAGCTATTTCTGTTTATTTCAATAATACTGCATTTCACTTTTTTTTTTATGCCCCATTATTTTTGATTGAATGCTGGACAGTGTGTATAGAAGACTAAAGGCAACTAAGAAAAATATTATTTGCAAGCTGGCATTGTGGCATAGTAGGTTAGGCCTGTGCCTGCAGCACCAAGTCCCAACTGCTCCTGTTTCAATCCAGCTTTCTGCCGGAGGCCTGGGAAAGCAGTGAAGATGGCCCTAGTGCTTGGGTCTCTGCACCTGCATGGGAGATCCCAAGGAAGCTCCTGGCTCGGGCCATTGAGGCCATTTGGGGAATGAACCAGTGGATGGAAGACCTCTCTGTCTCTGTCTCTCTCTCAGTCTCCCTCTCTCTGTCTCTCTGTAACTGTGCCTCTCAATAAATAAATCTTTTTAAAAATTTTTTTATAAAGTATCACTTGAATATCCATGTGAAAAAGTGAACCTTGATCCCTATTTCATACAATACACAAAAATTAATTACAGATGAATCAGCTAGACCTTTGTTACATATCAGTACATTTTGTCATTTAATCCTTTGCACTTATCTATTTAAAATACTGCATGTTATGAGCTTCAAATACAAAGAAAATATAAAGAAATGGAAAGACTAGTTGCCTGGTTTAATTGCTTTACCCTTTATACATGTGTTGAAGTATTGCTGTGTGCCCCATAAAATACAAATATTACATATTAACAAAAATTCTAAATTAATTTAAGAAAAAAAACAACAAAAATAAAAATATGCATATCACCATTTCAAAATAATTTTTGCCTTTCTATCTTCTTAAATAAATCATGCATGAGGGTATTTCGAAAGTTAGTGGAAAATGGAACTAAGGGATAAATTAATTTTGGTATAAAATTTCTGTGACTATTCTGAAGACTCTTCAAATGTTGTAGAAAATTTGGATAATAGAGCCAGATACAGATAGGAAAATCAACCATTAGTCCTCTGCACAGAGATGACCACTATTGATGTTTTCTTCAGAATTTATATGATTTTTCTGTCTTTCCCTCTCACTATGTACTCATCTTGGAGGCTGAAATTGAGATCCTACATTTGGGATTATACATACCAGCTAAGTGAGTTTTTTCTCTCAATAATGTTCTGTGGACATATTTCTATGTAGCAATGTAGATTTATAGTATTATTTTTAATGTAAAACACTCATGTGATGTGTAGGAACTTTTATAAATTAGGATGTTAAGACTAACACTTTTCATACGCCCTCCCTCTTTTGTTACTGTTTTTGTTTTTTGACCAACTACACATATCTATGTGAAGGAATGTTTACAAGTGGAATGGAAGTGGGAAAACAAGGGTCAAAGCAATTGACAGGGAGTCTGTACCACCCTAACCATAGCTACATTTGAGAAACACAGCTGAAGATGGTGTCAATCAAGAAGGGGAAGATTCTGGGAGGAAAGTGTCTTCCTCTTTGAGGGCTCTCTTTGAGGGGAATCACCCTATATTTGTATTACATGAACAACATGTTAGCAGAATAAAGCATCTCCCATGAATCCACTCAGAAGTGAATTCTCAACAATATCAGAGGTGTTTCCTTTTAAGAATAGATATGTCTTTTGGCTAAACTTGGATAAAAGCTTTTACTTAATACAGCATAATACCTCCAGCGGGCTCACAGCGGCAAAACTAAGTCAGTCTCAAAGTGTCTGATTACAATAAAATCAAATTTAACCTCCTAAACCCGACATAAATCACTCATACTTCTTTTCTTTCAGTTTGTGAGTATATTACCATAAATACTACCTGTCACAAGACTGATAGCTGTCAGTAGCTCAAAAAGACGAATAAAATTGAAAATGCATTTGAATATGGGAAATATGATAGCATTTCTAGAGAGGTGACAATAATAAAAAGTTATGGCAGACAAGAAAAAGAATCTCAGGAATAGCAAAATTAAGAAAACTGTCCTAGAATTAAATAAAATCTCAAATCAGTCTAACCAGAGTTGTATTTCCATCAAATATAACAGTCAATAAAATACTTATTGGTGCTTGGTAGTCTGTCACAGTGGCAAATTGAGTTTACTTTGCAAATTTTTATACTGAATGTATGTATCAAGTTGCAGGGCACAATTTCAAAGCTGCACAACCAAAGTTTATATTTCTTTCCAAATGATACCCGAAACCTTCATTAATATTTCTCCAACAATGTAAAAATTAATCTTGCCCAAATCTTGAAATGTACTTTTAATCACTAACTGGGATAAATAAATCCAGATGCCTTTTTTAAAAATCCAAGTTATTATATCTTAGGTAAGATTTTTTTTTTCAAAATTTCAAAGTCAATTTGTATCTCTTTTGCATTTTCTGGTTTTTAAAAAGCATGGTATTACATGCAACTTGGATGGATTGCAAAGGTTTTATGTTATGTGAAAAAAGCCAACCTCAAAAGGTTATATACTTTATGATTCTGTTTATATAACATTGTTGAAATGACATAGTATAAAGACAGACAAGATTAGTGGTTGTCAAGGAATAGGGGTGGGGGTGGGTGTGACTCATAGAGGGGTATCATTGGGGAATTCTTTTGTGTTGCTGGAACAGTCCTGTATCTTGATTGTGGTTGTGGTTACAGAAACCTATACATGGAATAAAATTGCACGGAACAGTACACACACACACACACACACACACACAAATGGGTTCATGTGGAAACTGAACAGAGTCTGCAACCTACTGAACTGTTTTGTACCCATGTCAGTTTCCTGCTTCTGATCTTACACTACAGCTGTGTAAGATGTCACTACTGGGGAAAACTACATAGAGAGGGCACAGCATTCTATACCTTAATTTTGCAATTTCCTATGAGTCCAAAGTTACTTTAAAAGTTTCTTTAAAGCATGGTGTTCACTCATCCACACTTTTTTTTAATTTAACAGGCAGAGAACCTGCGGTGGTAGTGGTGGTGGGGTTAAGGAAGCTCTCATCTGCTACTTCTCCCCCTAAATGTCCCCAGTGACTAAGACTTGGTTGGGGGCCAAAGCATGGAGCCTTGAAGACAGTCCAGTCTCCCAGTCACTTGAACCATCACCGCTGCCTCCCAGACTCTGTGTTAGGAGGAAGCTGGAGTCAGAAGGCAGAGCTAGGTCTCAAACCCAAGTATTTGGTAACAGAATTCCAGGGGTCTAATCCTCAGGTGAAACACCTACTTCCATTCCGACTTTCATCCTCATCCAGACAATGGTCAGAAAGGAAGCACATTAGCACTCTTGGCAGCCAAATTATATCAGAAAATTCATATGTTAACACATTTATTGTGCTTATTGGAGAATTCCTGAGATTCTCATTCAGGGTCTTCAAACTGATTTCTAATGTAGTTGGCAATCTGGTTTCCACAGCTACTCAGACACACTCATTTAATCAGCAGGTACTTACTCATTTATGTGTATTCATTCACAACATTTGGCTGATACCCTGATAAATTACACAATGTCTGCCCGCAAAGAGTTTAGAGCTTAGAGCTGTGATCTTGACACAGAAACTGAGAGGAGCAGGGTATATATATGTCAGAAAGCTGCAGGCTTTTGAAAACACATGCCAGTTAGTCCAAAACATTCTTCTGTATCCGGTAGGCAGGTATCTCCCCTCTTCCCAGAGCAGAAGAAGATGATAAATCAGAAGCCAGGGGTTGATGACAGATGGGAAGAGCTTCTAAGTGGGAGTCTGTGATGTCATCCTTAAGACAATGGGGCATTATCAAGTCCTTAAGCAAGGGAGAGGTGAATGACTGAATCCGCAGCTTTTCAAAACTTCCCAAGCTATAGACTTTAGGTTTGGGTGTTTGGGGCAGCAGGTAAGATGCTGCTTGGATGCCCACGTCCCATATTAGGGTGCCTGGGTTTGAGTTCCAGGTCCATGTCTGGTTCCAGCTTCCTGCTGTTCCAAGCAGCAGACAATAGCTCAAGTAACTGGGTTGTGCCACCCACGTGGGAGATTTGGATTGAGTTTTCCTGGTTTCAACCTGGCCCTGTCCCAGCTGTTGCAAGTATTTGAGAAGCAAACCAGGAATGGCAGCCCTCTCTGTGTGTGACTGACTTTCAGATAAATAATTTAATAATAATTTAAATTATAATAAATTATATAAAATTTATATAATAAATTATATAAAATCATAATTTAAAAAGAAGCTGTTGTCATGATTCTGAGATGACTGAGTAGTGATTTGGGGGATGGTAAGGAAAAGACAGACTTCTGAGTTCTTCAGGAGGAAGAATTGACAGGATTTGGAAAGCCATAGTTTCTCATCTCCATAAGAGTGGGGGTAGCCACAGGGGATCGAAAGGTTTTTGGCTTCAGGAGGAGCTTGGGACAATGGAAATTCTGCACGCACACATTATCACCATGGGTAAAGGTTAGTAGAAAGTAGACACGCAGGCTGCTGTTCAGAAGGAAGATGTGGACCAGAGACAGGCCACTGTGGGGTCGGTGGTTCTCGATCTTAGCTACACATGAGAGGCATGCTGGGAACTTTGGAAGATTCTTACCCATGCTCCACATCAGGCTAAGTAAACCAAAGCTCTGGGAGTGGGTGCAAAGGCACTGGTTTACAAAACCTACAGCTGTCCTAGGGTGATTCTACTACACAGGCAGGGCTGGGGGTCCCTGCTGTACGTGGTAACTGACAGAACTGAGTGGCTGGGCTCTCTCAGAGACTCTGTGGCAGAGCCTCTAAGCCTTGGCTACATAGAGGAATCACCTGGAAAGAGGGGAAAATGCTGAGATTGATTGTCCTTCCCAGAGAATCTGATTTAGTTGGCCTAAGGTACAGCCTGGGAATCAGGATTTGCAAAATTCCTTGGTGATTTTAATGATCCCCCAAGATTATCAACTACTGGAGCTGGCAGTGTGGCACAGCAGGTTAAGCCACTGCCTGTGAGGAGTGCCAGTTCAAGTCCCAGCTGCTCCACTTCTGATTGAGCTCCCTGCTAATGCACCTGGGAAAGCAATAGAAGATGGCCCAATTTATTGGGCCCCAACCACTCACATGGGAGACCTGGATAGAGTTCTTGACTCCTAACTTCAGCCTAGCCCAACCCCAGCTGTTGCAGGTATTTGGAGAGTGAAGGCGTGAACCAGAGGATGGAGGATTTTTCTCTCTCTCTCTTTCTCCCTCTCCCTCTCTCTTTGTAACTCTGCCTTTCAAATAAATTCATCTTTAAAAAAAAAAAAAAGATAATCACCATCAAGAAGGACCAAAGCTGGGATCCTGGGGTTGTGATTAAGTCATGAAAAAAGAAAATCAGAGAATCACAGCACTATAGAAATAAAAAAAATGACTAAAGAATGGAATTATAGAAACTAGATGAAGCAAGTGTTCAAGAAGCAGAAAATGGTCAACAGCATCGAATGCAGATAAGTATACTAAGGTAGCAATTGTAGGCATGGCCATGAATTACAGTGCTTGCTACATTCTGAGAAGTAGACACTTGACAAGTTTTATCACATCAAATTGTTACTGCAACTTCATGAGGTGCAGCCTATTCATGTGTTCCTTGCAAACTAGGGGTGATGATGCATCTGTGATGGTGCATCTGGCTAAGACCTAGCCAGGTCCAGAGTCCGCAATCCAGACGAATTCAGTTCGACAGAATTTTCTTTTTTCTTTTTTGACAGGCAGAGTGGACAGTGAGAGAGAGACAGAGAGAAAGGTCTTCCTTTGCCGTTGGTTCACCCTCCAATGGCCGTTGTGGCCAGCGCGCTGCAGAATTTTCAACTTTAGATTTTTATTGTTCTCTTAAGGTGCTTTCTGGGATCTGCTTCCACTGCAATAACCCCGCTCTGCTCCCTTAAGCTTTTCTCTTTATTTTGCCCCTAACATTCCCGTCCTAGTCAGTTTGGTTTCTAATTCTCCCAGTTTCCTCTGGAAGCCTTGTGAAGGGAGATTTGTCAGCTGTGCTAAGGTTCTGAAAGACTTAGCCTGACACTGCCCTGTGGATTTTCCCTGGTGTGTGCAGGGTTTTGCATTTACCTTCAACTTGAATCCTGTGAGGACTTCGCCCACTTTTGTTGGATGTCAAATGTTTCCCTCAGATAGGGTTGTGTCCCTTCTTTTGAGGGGTGTGTGTTGATGTTTTCTGCCTGGCTTGCAGGGAATTTTGCTAAATACCCTTCTTATTTCCCTACCATTCTCATGCAGTCATTGTTGACCTTAGCGCTTTGTCCCTACTCATCTCTATTTTGGAATGGGTAAGAATTCTCTTACCTAGGTTTTGAATATATTAAACACAGCAACTCTCTTACCATCTTAATTAATGTGTTTTCTTTTCAGGGAGAATTTTTGGAAGTTCAAAAAATTGTACTTCATATCTACTAAGACTGGGCATAGTGGATAGGCACAGACTATGATCTTCTTTGTCACTTCTACATAGATATCTAATGAAAATTCACAAATATATTCCCAAAATTCATGTAATGCAATAAACATAGCAACACTATTTGGACTAGCCCCAAACATGAACCTTCCCAAATCCAACTTAGATAATTGAATAAACCTTGTTACTCAAGTTTTACAGTGGAACTCTATAAGCAGTGAAAATGGATGAATGACAATTACATGGTTGTACCTAGTAAATGTAACACTGAGAAAAATAAGTCAGCTAAAAGTCTAAATACAGAAAACATCTACAATAACAAGTGTAAAATTAAATTAGGAGGGTCCGGTGCTGTGGCACAGCAGGTTAATGCCCTGGCCTGAAGCGCTAGCATCCCATATGGGTGCTGGTTCTAGTCCCAGCTGCTCCACTTCCGATCCAGCTCTCTGTTATGGCCTGGGAAAGCAGTAGAACATGGCCCAAGTCCTTTTGCCCCTGCACCCACATGGGAGATCCAGTAGAAGCTCCTGGCTCCTGGCTTCGGATCGGTGCTGCTCCGGCCATTATAGCCATCTAGGGAGTGAACCAGCAGATGGAAGACCTCTCTCTCAGTCTCTACCTCTCACTGTAACTCTGTCTTTCAAATAAATAAAGTAAATATTTTTTAAAAAAATATTAGGAGACAAAGTCACGGTTATTTTTGTAAGGGGGAGAAGAGAGTATCCCAGGAAGTGGAAGGAGGCACAAGAGAACTTGTGTTTCCAGTAATGTTTCCTTTCCAGATCTGGGACTGTGCAAATCGGAGTGTTTACTCTATGAGAATTCATTCAGCTGTACATTGATGGCCCATGTACTTTCTTCTATGTACATCAAATTATGATTAAAATTTTACATAAAATATGTACATAGTAGCAAAAATGCACTCAAATACTGTGTGATTTGTATGTTAATAAGGTGAATCCAACTATGCCTCAAATGGGAAGGAAAAAGATACACTGGAAAAATTCTCCAGCCACAGTGAGAAGTCCCTACCAGCCTATCATACCTGCAAATGGAGTGAAGTTACACCTGTGGGTTATCAACCAACACATTCACCACATTCCAAAAGTGCATGCAATATTTAGCAGCTTTTCAACTATCTGCTTTTGTATTAGGCCTGATAAACAGAAACTTGACCTTTTCTCCTTAAACATCATTGAGACAATTCTTGATGTCCCCATCAAAGGAGACCTAGGGACTTGCAGCTCTGGTCCCATATGTAAGGGGCTTAGAAGTTTCCACTCTGTCCCAACGACAACTAAAGGGCTGAACAAACTTGAAAAAAATCAATGATTGCTCTTAGAATCATTGGGGAAGCCAGGTCACGGGGCAATCCACTGTCCCCAGATTGAAGAGACAGACACATCCAGAGAACCACAGTTTAACTCCTGGCAATCTCCATGAGAAGCAGGAACCCTCCCGGAGAAAATAGTCCTATGATAGAAGAACCTAAACAGTAATTGGACAAATGCTGGGAAGCTCCAGGAGGGGCCAGCCACCACCAGCACCACCAGGCAGCCCCCACGACTTGTGAATTGAATCTCTATTAAGTCTTCATGATAAGTATGGGAGAATTCCCTGGTCCTCCTGGTAGAGTGAAGACAAAGTGAACCATTTTGAAATGCATGTGAGCATTCTAGTCCTTCTATCCCTCCTTCCTCCCTTTCTTTCCTTCTCTCTCTCTGTCTCTCTCTTTTATTTGAGAGGTCTTCCATCCAATGGTTCACTCCTCAAATCCACAAAATGGATAAGTCTGGGCCAGGCCAAAGCTGGGAGCTGGAACCTCCATGCAGATACTTGGGCCATCTTCCACTGGTTTCCCAGATACATTAGCAGGGAGCTGGATTACAAGTGGAGCAATCAGGACTTGAACCAGAGCCATTTGCGATGTCAATACCTCAAGCAGCAGCTTAACCCACCATGTCACAACACTGTTGACTAAGGAGTTTATTAAAAATATGATCAGCATGCTAAGGGATTTAATGGAAAATGTAGATAGTATGCAATAATGGATGGATAATATAAACAGAGAAAGTATCAAAAGAAATTATGGAAGTCAATACATTGTAAAAGAAATGAAGAACACCTTTGGTAGGCTCATCGATGGGCTGGAAACATTGGCAGATATCTCTGAGCTTAAAGATAGAAACACAGAAACTTCAAAAAGTGAAGACGGGGCCAGCCCTGTGGTAGAGCAAAGTCTCTGCCTGCAGTGATGCCATCCCTTATGGGCGCCGATTCAAGTCCTGGCTGCTCTACTTCTGATCCAGCTCCCCACTAATGCACCTGGGAAAGCAGCAGAAGATGACTCAAGTGCTTGGGACCCATGTAAGAGAACTGGAAGAAGCTCCTGGCTGCTGGCTTTGGCCTGGCCCAGCTTGGGCCACTGGGGAATGAACCAGCCGATGGAAGACCTCCCTGTCTCCCC